TCTCATGCATGCGCACGTGCCTGTCCAGTATATGTGGGAGTGAAGCAGCAGAAGGAGCAGCCTCCTCCTTCTCTTCTCTGCATTGGAGCTGCTGGATGATTCTGACCACATCGACACAAACAGGTGAGACTCCTTCTGTCAGTGTGCGTGAATCTGCGGGAGTAACGGAGTAATGACCGACAGTTTATAGAGAGCTGAACCCTGCGGTGGGAGGGGGGGTTATCAGCAGCAGCAGGGAGGGCTGCCTCTGCCTCTGTCCCTCCCCGGCTATGATCGACCTTGTCCCGGACAGCCGGCGCGCTGCCACGCCGGGCTGTGGAGCTCTGCAGCGGGAGGAGCTTCTTCCTCCTCCCGCTGCAGGTGGATCTGATGATGATGATGATGATGATGATGATGATGATGATGATGATGATGATGATGATGATGATGATGATGGGAAATTATGGAAGAAGCTGCTTCAAAGTGAGCGGGAGGGGGATTAAAGAGAGGAGGATGGTTTTATGTAACAGTCCTCTTCATCATCATCATCATCCTGAACCTACAGTTTGCCTCCTGGTTTCTCTGCTCCTGAACGTCTCACTTTTATTTATTTTTCATCATTTAGAAGTTTTCAGTTGGAAGTTTTTGTTTTAAGTTTCTTAGAAAAGTTGAACCGAGTGTCTCTGATGGAGGCTGGAAGGTTCTGGACCTCCTGCTGTCTCCTCCATCACTGCTTCTGCTGAGGAGCTCTGAGATGAAAGGATGTTGGCTTTAATAGCATCGTCGTCATGGAAACAGCTGAAAGCAGCTCAGCAACACAGAACCTGATAGTTGCCTTATGGATCAGATCCGTCCTTTTTGGTGAGTCTGTGGTTCTGTTCTGGATCAGCCAGCCGGACTCGTTTGGACCTGATGGGATCCGTTGGATCTTCAGCCTCCGCTGCAGGTTGCTATGGCGTCATCACAACCTTTTTTTTTTTCCATTGTGCCATTGTGCAGCGCCCAAGGAGCACTGTGGGGTTAAGGGGCTTGCTCAGGGACCCAGAGTGACAGTCTGTGGGAGTAGGACTCGAACTCAGAACCTCTGGATTCCAAGCTATATGCCCTAACCACTAGGCCGCCATCTTTCCCAGTATCCCAGGTTCTGCCTGGGTTCCGGACCGCTGGCTCCATTCCTGGTTCCGAGGAGGACGAGATGTGTCCTCTGATGCTAAAGAGCAAAGACAGGAAGAGGAGGAGGATCAAAGCATCCCTGTGAGCACAGCGCCAGCGTCCCCTGAGGACACGTCTCCGCTGTTTGTCTTTGCTGCCTCTCTCTGCTGGAGACAGGATCAAACCAATCAAAGAGCCAAAACTGACCCGTTCACACAGAACCAGGACGGCGTGGCCCAGAACATTAGCTGGGCTTTGACTAGGCCATTCCAGCACATCCTGTCTTCTCTCTGAATGTTCTGTTTGGAGTTCAGGTCGGGTTCTTGGTTCTGTTGGGCTGATGGACCCATACAGAACCCCAGAACTGGTGGTCAACAGTGGACATCATGGTCCAACACGCTGTCCTTCATCCGGTTCCAGTTCTGCTGCCGTCCTGACCTTTGACCTTTGACCTGTAGAGTGTGAGGTTGAGCTGGTTTCTGACGCTGGGCTGAATCTGCTGGGACATCCTGAGCTGTCCTCTGATGGACGTTCAGGTGGTTTGGAGATGACCTTCTGACCCGGTCCGGTTGCAGCTCTGAGGTGATCGTCTGCAGGACACCCACCCTCCCTGATGGTTGGTCTCCTCTCCCTCCTCAGACCTGTTTCTGCCGGGTTCTAACACCCAGACACCGACGGGGACTTTGGATCCGTTTGTTTGCTGTTTGCTTTGGTTTCAGCCCAAACATGATGAAACAGGAACCACCTCCTTCCTGTTTGGACCTCAGACTGAAGCTCTGTGTTTTTCCTCCTGATTGTGGAGCTTCTAGAATCTTCTGGTCTTAATGAGCAGAACATTAAAACCTTTTTCTGTTCTCTCTCTGCTGTTTGATCCAGTCTCTGGTTTGGACTCTGAACCTTTGAGTCAGGGCTGGGTGCTTCTGTGGTCGGACGGTCCCTGAACACCTCGCTGTGCTGCGTGGGTGCTCCCCTCTATTTCTGGAAACATGAGTCATCTTTACTCTGATTATATAAACCCAAACCTTCCTCCTCTGGTTCTGCTTTGGAGGATGAAAACGGTTCTGAGCCTCGTTAGAACTTTTCTGTTCAGAAACCTGCGATCCAACAGGAAGTGATGAACATTAGACAGCAGCTGATGGGAAACAGCAACAATGGAGAAATAACAGGAAGAGGAAAACAATCCATCATCCATCCATCATCCATCATCCATCCATCATCCATCCATCATCCATCATCCATCCATCA